TTGTACGTTAGAGGCACAGTGGAGGAGGCGTTAAGAAGACTGAGAAACTGAATGATTTCAATGTGTCTTTGTTTTTGATTTTTATCCTTTGATCCAGTGTAAATAATTTTTGTAAAAGACTGAAAGAAATAATAATTCTGTGAAACAAAGTGTCATTCTGGTTTGTCTGTCTCTTTGCCTGTCTGTCCTTTCATTTTTCTTTTCTTTGCTCATCTTATTTCTTCTTCTACTTCACATGCTCATGCTCTTAGTCAATAGTTCTGTGACAATATATTGTGACGATATATATATATATATATATATATATATATATATATGACGATATATATATATATATATGACGATATATATATATATATATTGCTTTTATTCTTTGTTCCGCAAAGTGCGCTCTTTTAGTTTGTAGTGATGTGACAATATATATATTTCTGGGCGTTTTTTTTGGCCCGTCCGGTTTACCCGGGCGCCCCCCCGGGGCCCAACCGGCCGGGCGGCGTCCTCACTCAGCAATGGCCTTTGATCGCCAAGGATGGAGGGCCATGATTAGCTGTTTTGGAAACAAATAAAAAGGGGCCGGTAGGGCACTCTTCACTACTGCACGGTAGCCAGGCCTAAACTTACGGCAAAACTTGATTTTCATTTTTTGGCGCTGCGGACGCCCATAGCCCCGCATAGAGGTCATGTCTGGCTGGGCACCTAGGGTGTCCGAGAAATCTTCCAGAACTTTAGTCCTCTTTTCAATGATTTTCTCTTTTCTATTCCCTCTTGCTTTCCCATGCCTCAATATTCCTCCATATGTGCCGCCTGACAATGGTGCGCTTCATATGGCAAGAAGAACGTCAACCTTCAAGATATGAATGCCTGAACCTAGTGTTGAATTCTTTATCTTTTTTTCCGTATTACTTGAATCCTGTTGGTTTCTTTTTGCCCGTGTGTTTCAGGTTCTGGTGGCTAGCAAGAACAGAATAAGGAGCCTTCTTGATCTTCCTCACCTTCCTGTACTTGAGGTGCGATAAGTGTTTGCAGACAGAGGATCTAATTCTCCTCTCCTTTGAGCTCATTGCTTTTCACCTGTGTGCTGACTGTGTATGTATGTGTGTGTGTGTGTGTGTGTGTGTGTGTGTGTGTGTGTGTGTGTGTGTGTGAGAGAGAGAGAGAGAGAGAGAGAGAGAGAGAGAGAGAACTGACTTGCTGTTGCTGCTGATTTTTCCAGCTCCCATGGGAGCAAGAATGCCAAAGGGGATGTGCCTATTGCCTCTGTTCTTTCCATCATTGTATCTTATTCATCCTTGAGGGTGTGTGTTTTCTTCCTTTGCAGCAAAGAGAAGGTTAGTTAGGTGACTGTTTGCTTTGCGGCAAAAACGAGCCTAGCTCAGTCCGTACGCCTATGAACTGTTTTAAACCGGACCTGAGTTCAAACCCTACTGGACCCTGATGAATGAATAAATTATTCTGAGTTACCTGGGGCTTGATGAAGATTTCCCACGTTTGCCCTTTTTTTTTTTTCCAAAGAAGGTTAGGTGCATCACAGTGTAACATATCTTCTCCCATATAGGCTGCAAGAGCAAAATAGGATTCCCAGTCAGGCTGCCATGTCTGTTATCTCTTGCCAACGTTCCCGGTGGCATTGATGGCAACAACCACAATGCGGATGTTTGTATTCCACATTCACTTCTCCCCATGCCCCCCTGTCCCGTCTCTCCATGTTGGGACATCCTGCTGCTCTGTGTCTTTCTCTCCTCTTCCCTTCTCTTGGCCCATGCCCTCTGTCCTTGCTGCCACACCTGTAATTCATAATTGGCATGTGCGTGTGAGGTAAGCCACTGTCCATCAAAAGTGCTTCAATTAATAGCCAGGTGACCCCCCGTCACAACCAGTGTGGCACCCATCTTCTTTAGTTTTCTAGGGCACCCATCTTCTTTTTGTTTTCAAGGAAGCGCGGACGGTTCAGTGGGAGAGAGGTGGCCAGGTGGACAGACACACGGAGTGGAGAAAAGAGTGGAAGTGGTAGGGATGGATTCAAATAAGTCTAGGGGGTGTGTAAAAATGCCTCACCAGGGAAAAAGAAAAAACTCGTTCTTTGTCGTGCTCCAATGAGCTGGGCAGGTGGGTCCAGCCTACCGGGGGCCGACTGGGCTGGAAGGGACCCGGGCCTGAGCAACAACAGGCCACCTGGGTGTAGGCGACTGGAGTATGCTTTAAAATTCGTGCAAGACCAAATGTTATCCCTGGAGTCTCTTCATGAGGTTATGAAAAAGATCTTCTCTGGGAGACATAAAGCCCTTTTGTGATGATGCAAGACTGCGTTCAATTCTTGGTCTTGATGATTGTCTTGATGCTCTGCAGAATCTACGTTTCGAGGATAATCCTGTTGCCGAGTCAGAGAATGCTGGTTTGACTGCCATGCTCTTGGTGGGAAAAAGTCTGAAGAAACTTAATGGTCGTGGTATGTGTCTCTATAGCGCTGTCACCATCTCTGTTTCATCACCGATTCCATTTTGGACTTGTTCCCTTTTTCGTCTCTCTGCATGTCCCTTGGTCCGTGCATGGCTTGGTGTCATCTCATTTCTTAGTTGTATGCTTCTCAGCCTCTCCTCTCGGAGTTGTAACATTGCGTCACTGCCTGACTCTACCAGCTAGTTATATTTTGACCTTGTGCAACTCTCTCTCTCTCTCTCTCTCTCTCTCTC